GGGGGGGGGGGGGCGATACCTTTTATTGTTTAATGCAGTGGTTTTCAACCTTTTTTATTAGCAGACCCCTAAAAAATTTGAATGGAGCTGTGGACCCCTTTGAATTGTAAATGTGGGTATTCATGTACTTTTGATCATAGTCATCTTTTGTGGACCCCTTAGACGTAGTCTGTGGGCCCCCAGGGGTCTGGACCACAGGTTGGAAACCACAGCTCTAGTGCAAAGCGGTCTTCAGGTATGAGCAGAAGACCCTCAAGGATGCTTCCTTTGGACCTAAAGAATGCTTTGCATTCAAAAGTTGATCTAACTTTATCCCAACTATACAGTTGGTCCAACCAATGATATGACCCCAAAAACCCTTGCCTCTTTCATTTTTTTCCCCATCTATTGTGTTCAGCAGGCATCCAATCCCTGTCTCAGTCGCCTCCTGCATAAGTTGGAAAGAAAATGCAGGTATCCAGCTTTGAGGAGGTCACCACTGACAAACACTAAACCTTCCTGGGCACAGAAATAAGACCTCAGCATATGTAATTCTGCTCACGATTTAAATGGCCTCCAGCAGGCACCATCCCACTGGGGGTCATGAATTGGAAAAGCTGGAAAGCATTTGTCCCCACGCACACTCTTGCCCCCTTGAAAATAAAAGAGCCCCAAAGCAGGGTGAGAACTGTGTCCTCATGCATTGAGGCCACGGGAGCTTTGTGACCATGCGCCAGGCCATGGCCCGCACTGGACCCCTGGCAGATGCAGAGAGGACAGCACCGGCTGTTTCATGCAGAGTGCTGGAGTGGCTGCAATGCACCAGGTAGGTACAACAATGGTGCCATCCACCTGTCTCCTGTCCAGGCCAAGGCAAAGCTGAGGAACAAACGTGAGCCAGATGCTCCAGGGCAGGTGGGAAAGCTACAGGTCACAGCATGGTTTGACAAAGGGGTCCAGCCCTTGCTCTCAGCACTCACTTGGGCATCTGGGCCTAGCTGGCAGGCATTCACCCCCAGGCCTTGGCACCTGGCCCAGCCCCTGGAGGGCATGAGAAAGGGACCTGGCAGTGCCTGCCCCTGTGCTGCAGCAGTGAGACACAGCTTGGGGCAAAGAGGGTGTGGGGGAGCTAAGGGGGGCAGGGAGCAGAGGGAAGGATAGACCCTGGGGGGGTTGAGTGGGGGTGTCCTGGGCCTGGAGGCAGGAGCTGCAATGGGGCAGGGAGAGCAGCTGGGCCCACGAGAACCTGCTCTGCTCCCTGCCACCCCGGCGGGTGCAGCAGGCTGCACGGTGGGGCCAGGTCTTAAATATGAAATGATGCTGAAAACGATCCCATTTGCTGAAAAACTTCTCGTTGGTTGAAAAAAAGTGCAATTTATTTAAAGAAGTCGTCTTATTTACTTAATATTGCAGCAAGTGAGTGAGAACCGGGGCCCAGTTGAAGCCTTTCTGCATTTCGAGGCAAGCGGGCACAGGAGGAAGGTGCTCCTGCAACCCCAGGAGCCAGTTAGCTTGCTACACCCGAGCACGAGCGAAACTGGGGGGCATCTGACCTCCAAGCCTCTGGGTTCGGGCCTGCACTAGAACGCCCCCCGATGGATTTGGGAGCATCCGAAGCCCCAGACTGGGGGCAAGGATGCCTGCTCATAGCAACCGGGGTGCACGTTGTTGCGGTGTTGGTCTCAGGACAAGGTTCTTTGGGTGAATCGGATCACTTTTATTAGACCACCTTCAATAGTTGGGGAAAAAAAATTTGGAAAGCTTGCTAATTTTTTTTTTTCCCCAACTATTTCAAGTTGGTCTAATAAAAGAGATCAGATTCACCCAAACGACCTCTGTCTGCTAGGAGCAAGGCCACTTCTGGTATTTGGCTGGCTCAGGGCTGTGGCTTGGGACACGAAACATGCTAAAAAAAAAAAAAAAAAAAAAAAAAAAAAAAAAAAA